CAAAACACATTCTGCTATGCCTCCTGAATATTAGGATAGCACATGTGTGGTACTTTTTACAGCCTAGATGCATAGAAGGATCTGAAATCCAAGGAGTAGCTTCAGGTGTTCCAGGAGTATAAATTTTGCATCTAATTTTCTGACTACCTAACACATTTTTGGAAGCTCTGGAGCACCAGGATAGTGGAAACACTCTCAAAATGACTTCATTTATTTCATATTTTCTGAAAGACATAAGTTTTTTTTTTTAATTTAATTGTTTTGCCACAAGTTGTCAGTTAATAAGACATTTCTATCAAACAGCATGGACATACTTAGAAATACCCCCAAAACACATTCTGCTACTTCTCCTGAATGTGGGGCAATACCACATGTAAGACTGTTTCACAGCCTACGCACACAGAGGGGTCCAAAATCCAAGGAGTACATTCAGGTTTCTAGGGGCATAAATTACGCATCTAATTTCCTGACTACCTATCACCTTTTTGGAGGCTCTGAAGAACCAGGATAGTGGGAACAGTTGGGGACACTGGGTCTGTTGACACTGGTACTGATATGGCAGTAATCAGGACACTGGTATGACAGTGATCAGGATGCTGGTATGGGGTATGACAGTGATCAAGATGCTGGTATGGGGTATGGTAGTGATCAGGACACTGGTATGGAGTATGGCAGTGATCAGGATGCTGGTATGGAGTATGGCAGTGATCAGGATGCTGGTATGGGGTATGGCGGTGATCAGGATGTTGGTATGGGGTATGACAGTGATCAAGATGCTGGTATGGGGTATGGTAGTGATCAGGACACTGGTATGGAGTATGGCAGTGATCAGGATGCTGGTATGGAGTATGGCAGTGATCAGGATGCTGGTATGGGGTATGGCGGTGATCAGGATGTTGGTATGGGGTATGGCGGTGATCAGGATTTGGTATGGGGTATGGCGGTGATCAGGATGCTGGTATAGGGTATGGTGGTGATCAGGATGCTGGTATGGTGTATAGCAGTGATCAGGATGCTGGTATGGGGTATGACTGTGATCAGGATGCTGGTGTGGGGTATGGCGGTGATCAGGATGCTGGTATGGGGTATGACTGTGATCAGGATGCTGGGTTATGGCAGTGATGAGGAATCTGGTATGGGGTATGGCAGTGATCAGGACTATGGTATGGGGTATGGCGGTGATCAGGACTATGGTATGGGGTATGGCGGTGATCAGGACTAGACTATGGTATGGGGTATGGCGGTGATCAGGACTCTGGTATGGGGTATGGCAGTGATCAGGACTATGGTATAGGGGTATGGCGGTGATCAGGATACTGGACAGGGGGGTCAGGAGCACACAGTACAATGGGTCAGGAATTCAAAGTACAGGTGGTCAGCTGGATTCAGTATGGGGGTCAGGAGGACACAGTACAGGGGGGTCAGGAGGACACAGTACAAGGGGACAGGAATGCACAGTACAGGTGGTCAGCTGGATTCAGTATGGGGGTTAGGAAGACACAGTACAGAGGGGTCAGGAGGACACAGTACAGGGGGGTCAGGAGGACACAGTACAAGGGGACAGGAATGCACAGTACAGGTGGTCAGCTGGACTCCGTATGGGGGTCAGGAGGACACAGTACAGGAGGGTCAGGAGGGCACAGTACAAGGGGACAGGAATGCACAGTGCAAGGGGGTCAGGAGCGCACAATACAGGGGTTAGCTGATCACTGATGCTTTCAACTGTCGTGCTTTTGCTTGATGTCCACTGCTCTATACGCTGCAACTTGGAGACTGTCAAATTATAGACTTAGGACCACAGTACACAGAGGAGCCTTGATGTAGGTAGCAGAGCGGGAAGCAGAGGACAAGCGAGAGGCAGCAGAGCAGGAAACAGAGGGCAAGTGAGCGGCAGCAAAACGGGAAGCAGAGGACAAGCAAGCAGAGCGGGAAGCAGAAGACAAGCGAGCGGTAGCAGAGCGGGAAGCAGAGGATAGGCGAGCAGATTGGGAAGCAGAGGACAAGCGAGCAGATTGGGAAACAGAGGACAAGCGAGCAGAGCGGGAAGCAGAGGACAAGCGGGAAGCAGAAGACAAGTGAGTGGCAGCAGAGCGGGAAGCAGAGGACAAGCGAGAGGTAGCAGAGGACAGGCGAGTGGCAGCAGAGCAGGAAGCAGAGGACAAGCGAGCGGTAGCAGCAGAGCGGGAAGCAGAGGACAAGCGAGAGGTAGCAGAGCGGGAAGCAGAGGACAAGCGGCAGAGCAGGAAGCAGAGGACAAGCGAGCAGCAGCAGAGCGGGAAGCAGAGGACAAGTGAGAGGTAGCAGAGCGGAAGCAGAGGACAAGCGGGCAGAGCAGGAAGCAGAGCGGGAAGCAGAGGACAAGCGAGAGGTAGCAGAGCGGGAAGCAGAGGACAAGCGAGAGGTAGCAGAGCGGGAAGCAGAGGACAAGCGAGAGCGTAGCAGAGCGGGAAGCAGAGGACAAGCGGGCAGAGCAGGAAGCAGAGGACAAGCGAGAGGTAGCAGAGCGGGAAGCAGAGGACAAGCGGGCAGAGCAGGAAGCAGAGGACAAGCAAGCGGCAGCAGAGCAAGAAGCAGAGGACAAGCAAGCGGCAGCAGAGGGGGAAGCAGAGAACAGGCGAGCCGAACGGCAACATAAACTGGAGCTAGAAAAACTCCAGCTGCAGCAGAACAGGTCTGCTGGTAATGCTGAGTCCAGGGAAGAACGGATATACAAAATTTCCCTGGACAAGTTCCCCACCATGGACCTAGATGGCGATATGGACACTTTCTTACAAGGATTTGAAAGGACTTGTCGTCAGTACCTCCTGCCCAAGGAGCAATGGGTACAGTGCCTCATACCAGGGCTGAAAGGCAAGGCCCTGGATGTGCTTGTGAGTCTTCCAGAGGGCCAAGAACGGGACCATGAGGCTCTTAAGCAGGCCATTGTTAAATGGTACCAACTCACCCCAAGCGAGTTTCAGGAGATTGCATCGAGGTCCTAATGACAACTACATGGACCTTGTCTGCAGTCTGCGTGCTGCTTTCCGGCAATGGCTAAAGGGACTGTCCATAAGCATAAGGGTGTGCCAATCGCTAGACTGCTCCCCAACCTTTAGAGTGCACCAGATTGTATGTAGGATTCATATCTGCTTGTGTGTGGTCAGCTAGCTGGATTGGAGTGGAGTCTCCTTCTAGTGGTGGCCTCTAGTGAAAGTGGATCACGGCAAGTCTTATATGCTCAAAGTCCCCCTCATTCCCTTTTTACCCCCAGTCACGGTGCACCCCTTGGTTAGCTAGTCGCCGTGGGCGTGCTGTTTTATCCATGACACTCCCCTTAAGGGTCAGGGACTGATGTGAATGTACAATATATATGTGTAAAGTGCTGCGTACATTGATGGCGCTATATAAGTACCTGAAATAAATAATTTTCCTGCCAATATCAGCTATTAAAATAGTCCAGTGGAAAAGCCAACCCAGTGGTATGGATCAGCTTGTGAAAGTCAATGCGTTTTGGCCATTACAGCCCTAATCATGACTAAAGCTACATATAACTGGGAGGAGAGGAGGGTCCATTGGGGAACAGCTGACCAGAAGAGGAATGATCATGGTAGCACCCAGGGGCGGACTGACCATTTGGAAACTCGGGCACTGCCAGCGGGCCTGGGGTCAGTAGGGGCCCCCATGAGATGCCCCTGGTACTTTTTTCATAAGCTTTTTTGAGTTTCAGCACGGACACAGGGGCACCATGATCCCCTATTGCCCGGGGGCCCCATGAGTTGTCAGTCTGCCCCTGGTAGCGCCCCTACCTAGCTCTGCATGCATCAGTAGCAGGGATGCGATCTACCCGTCAGCAGTTTGAGATTGACGGATAACCCCTGTTGAGAAACCTTGGACTAGACCAAGTATGTCAAACTGACAGCCCTCCAGCTGTTGTGAAACTACAAGTCCCATCATGCCTCTGCCTTTGGGAGTCATGCTTATAATTGTCAATCTTGCAATGCCTCATGGGACTTGTAGTTTGGAAACAGCTGGAGGTTCGCCGGTTTGACACCTGTGCCCAAGAGGGTTGGAAAAGCAGGGACGCATTCATGATCTACCTGCCACCTGCCCGTTGACAGGTTACCAACCCCGCGATATAGAGCTTGGAGTCAAGAGCCCAATTATTATCATTTTGTTCACACAACTAGAGCTTTCCTTTGGTGGTATTTAATCACCGCTGGGGTTTTTTATCCATTGCTAAATTAACAAAAAAAGACCGAACATTTTGAAGAAAAAAAAAAAACACGTTTTTCTTTGTTCTGTTATAAAAATAAATAATTGTTCTTTGTAAATTTAGGCCAAAATGTATTCTGCTACATGTCTTTGGTGAAAATAACCCAAATCAGTGTTTATTATTTACAGTAGTCTGCAGGAAAGTTATAGAGTTCACAAACTATGGGATATATCTGAAAATTGATCAATCCTGAATTACTGACAGCCAATCTAATTTCTTTAGGCCCAAGAATGTCAGGACAGTACAGATATCCCCCAAATGTCAGGACAGTACAGATATCCCCCAAATGTCAGGACAGTACAGATATCCCCCCAAATGTCAGGACAGTACAGATATCCCCCAAATGTCAGGACAGTACAGATATCCCCCGAATGTCAGAACAGTACAGATATCCCCCAAATGTCAGGACAGTACAGATATCCCCCGAATGTCAGGACAGTACAGATATCCCCCGAATGTCAGGACAGTACAGATATCCCCCGAATGTCAGGACAGTAGAGATATCCCCCAAATGTCAGGACAGTACAGATATCCCCCAAATGTCAGAACAGTACAGATATCCCCCAAATGTCAGAACAGTACAGATATCCCTCAAATGTCAGAACAGTACAGATATCTCCCAAATGTCAGGACAGTACAGATATCCCCCAAATGTCAGGACAGTACAGATATCCCCCAAATGTCAGGACAGTACAGATATCCCCCAAATGTCAGGACAGTACAGATATCCCCCAAATGTCAGAACGGTACAGATATCCCCCAAATGTCAGGACGGTACAGATATCCCCCAAATGTCAGGACGGTACAGATATCCCCCAAATGTCAGGACGGTACAGATATCCCCCCAAATGTCAGGACGGTACAGATATCCCCCAAATGTCAGAACGGTACAGATATCCCCCAAATGTCAGGACGGTACAGATATCCCCCAAATGTCAGGACGGTACAGATATCCCCCAAATGTCAGAACGGTACAGATATCCCCCAATTGTCAGAACGGTACAGATATCCCCCAAATGTCAGGACAGTACAGATATCCCCCAAATGTCAGGACAGTACAGATATCCCCCCAATGTCAGAACAGTACAGATATCCCCCAAATGTCAGACAGTACAGATATCCTCCAAATGTCAGGACAGTACAGATATCCCCCCAAATGTCAGAACAGTACAGATATCCCCCAAATGTCAGAACGGTACAGATATCCCCCAAATGTCAGAACGGTACAGATATCCCCCAAATGTCAGGACGGTACAGATATCCCCCAAATGTCAGGACGGTACAGATATCCCCCAAATGTCAGGACGGTACAGATATCCCCCAAATGTCAGGACGGTACAGATATCCCCCCAATGTCAGGACAGTACAGATATCCCCCGAATGTCAGAACAGTACAGATATTCCCCGAATGTCAGGACAGTACAGATATCCCCCGAATGTCAGGACAGTACAGATATCCCCCAAATGTCAGGACAGTACAGATATCCCCCAAATGTCAGAACAGTACAGATATCCCCCAAATGTCAGAACAGTACAGATATCCCTCAAATGTCAGAACGGTACAGATATCCCCCAAATGTCAGGACGGTACAGATATCCCCCAAATGTCAGGACGGTACAGATATCCCCCCAAATGTCAGGAACGTACAGATATCCCCCAAATGTCAGAACGGTACAGATATCCCCCAAATGTCAGGACAGTACAGATATCCCCCAATTGTCAGAACGGTACAGATATCCCCCAAATGTCAGAACAGTACAGATATCCCCCAAATGTCAGGACAGTACAGATATCCCCCCAATGTCAGAACAGTACAGATATCCCCCAAATGTCAGAACAGTACAGATATCCCCCGAATGTCAGGACAGTACAGATATCCCCCCAAATGTCAGAACAGTACAGATATCCCCCAAATGTCAGAACAGTACAGATATCCCCCAAATGTCAGAACAGTACAGATATCCCCCAAATGTCAGGACAGTACAGATATCCCCCCAATGTCAGAACAGTACAGATATCCCCCAAATGTCAGAACAGTACAGATATCCCCCAAATTAACCCATTTTGCAAAGTAGACAGTCCGACATATTTCATAAGAGGTATGGTGAGTTTTTTGAAGTTGTAATCTTTTTGTCATAATTTTTCGGAAAATGGAAAAATTAAAAAAAAAAATTTCACAATTTGTTTTACATCCTGTCCCCAGTGCAGTACAGCATTGTCATATAACTGGTTTGGCAGTGATCAGGGACACTGACTGGTGACAGGACGAAAAAAGAAAAAAAAAATTTATTACATTTTTTTCTCTTTTTTTAAGATTTTTTTTCATATTACACTATGACTAAAGTAGTATAATGTTGCTATAGTAACGCATTACTACTTTGGGGAAGTGATCAGTATTTTTGTTTTTTCCACAATTTGATTGCTTATAGCAAAGATTGATTCATTCAGCTTTTTTTGTTGTGATTAGCTGGGATTGGCCACTGATAATCACATGACACAGATGGGCTGTGATTGGCCCAGGCTGTGCATGTGATCGATGTGACCATTCACAGCTAGACACACTTGTATACTATGAAAGGAAGCCGTCCATTGTATACAACTGTCATGTGACCTGCTGTGATTGATCACGGTAACGGGCCGGTACACAGATCTGTCATCGGCCGTCTCCGAGGTACACGACCGGTGACAGATCTCACCACAGTGCGGCCCTGCGGGCATATGCAAAGCGCGCTCCAGGAAGGACGTCACATGAGGTTCGCCCGGCTGTCATTTAACTCTAGGCCGGGCGGGAAGTAGTTGATCAGCCCCAGAACCCGTGTCATTAATACGTGTTCGGGTTTAAAGGGAGGAGGTGGCAACCCTACCCCACACGTGTAACAACTCGTGTGGGGTAGGGTAATCGCATGGTGGAAAAGCACCATGCGATTTCCTGGCCACTGTGGTCCAAAATAGGGTAGGAACCTTTTTCCCACATGAAACATAGGCACAGCAGTCCATTCACTTGCAAATGGTAAAGACCTATGCGCTGCTATGTTCCAACTGTAGTAATAATGTCAGGGAAGATGATTGCTGCACTCACTCCTCTGGTGCACTCACACTCAAATTAAATGAAAAAAAAATGTGGTGCGCTAGCTCATCATAAATAGAACCATAGACTTTGGAAACATAAAGTGACAGTCCAAAAAAAAAATTAACACTTTTTTTAAATCATGTCCCTGTACAGTATTTATGCCTTTAAAGTGCACTTTATAAAGAGTTTTGAACAGATAAAAGACTTTTTTTTTACTTTTTTCTGACCTCCAGAACGGATTAATTGGTTTTCAATGCATTTACAAATTCATTTTTAATCATGTTCCTGTACAGTATTTATGCCTTTAAAGTGCACTTTATAAAGAGTTTTGAACAGATAAAACTTATTTTTGACTTTTTTCTGACCTCCGAACGGATTCATTGGTTTTCAATGCATTTATGAATTATTTTAGCAATACAAACAGATTAATTGGTTTTCAATGCAGTTACGAATTCATTTTTAAACATGTCACTGTAGAGTATTTATGCCTTTAAAGATGAAGTCCGGAAGTGACGAAACGCGTTAGGGGATGTGACGTCAAGACGCATGCACGCTAACTGGAAGTGTCGCCGTGGCCATTTTGTCGGTTTGAAACATATGGTTTTCAGCCATTGATTGCTGATTGTATCAGAGAACCATTGAAAGAGCTGGAAGTTCCTTTATTCAGATGTAAGTTGCTAATAAATTTGTTTCTATGCCTTGGTGATCAGTCTAAAAGAGTCTTCTTATCTTTGTGAGGACCTTGGAAATCTAATCCCGGAAATGATGGAATGAGAAGAGTTTTATTCCATAGTATTGAATATGCATACAAATACTCACAGAGGGTAATAGTATTTAGCACTACTGTTTGTTGGGTCACAGAGTGCACACAGTGTTGGAATGGTCACAGATGTGTTCACAATTTGTGTATTATATATATAAAAAATTACTTATAATTATATATATATATATATATTTTTTTTTTTTTTGTGTGTGTGTGTGTGTTTTTTTTGCACATTTTGAATTGGTTTGTGTTTTGCACGAATTAGAGTATTATTTACTTATTTAAGGGTAATGCACTATAGTTTCTTTCTTTGTTTTGAGGTTTTTCGCTGAAAAATTAGGATTATTATCCTTCTTATTAGATGGAAGTCTGGAATTTGGATTTTTGGATTTTGTTGGACACATTTTTTTTTGGACACATTTGAATTGGACATTTTATGATTGTATTTGGTGATAATTTTGAATTATTCTAATTTTAATTGTATTTGAATTTTACACAAAAAGGTATTTATTATACTGTACTTTCTAGGGAGAAAGTGTGACTTTTTGGTGGGATTTAGGAGGTCACGTATCTATTTATTTTAATACAAACAGATTAATTGGTTTTCAATGCAGTTACGAATTAATCTTCAAACATGTCACTGTACAGTATTTATGCCTTTAAAGTGCACTTCATAAAGAGTTTTGAACAGACAAAAGACTTTTTTTAACTTTTTTCTGACCTCGAACGAATTAATTGGCTTTCAATGCATTCCTATGGGAAACCGCGTTTCGGTTTACAAATTTTTCACAATACAGAAAGTCCCGCACAACGAATTAAATTCATAAACCGACGTACGCCTCTATATCATAAAGATGCTACTAGATACTAGAGGTGAGGTTCAAGGTCACCACTGCCATGGGTTTACACCAGCGGTGGCCAACCGTTTGAGCTGCCTAGGCCACATTGGCTGAAAAAGAATTGTCTTGGGCCGCTTTTGCTCGGGCACAGCAGCTCATTCATGTAAATGGACTAAATGAAAAAAAGTGCACTAGCTCATCATAAATAGAACCATAGGCTTTGGAAACAAAATGTAACAGATAATAAATGTCCAATCCAGTATATGTTGTGTTTTCATCCAGCCATAATCCACATCATGCTTGACTTGTGGCCCCACTCCCTGCTCACCTTGACCATGGGCCTATAGATTATAATTGGCCAAAAACACACTTTATAAGGAAAATGTGTCTCCAAATTTCTGATCCATGACTTGTTCCTTCCTCGTATTATGCTTCTTTAACTGCTTAAAGACCACTCTATAGCAGATATACTGCTACAGGGTGGCACCTGTGCGCAAAATCACGTGTATATACTGTGGTCATCAGTGGACCACAAAATCCTGTCAGGAACCACCTCTGACATTGTGGCCCAGAAAACCCAGAATGGACTCCACCTTGATCTCCTGGATATGATCGCATGAGAGGTGATACATAGCGTCCATCACCTCGCCTTTGATACTGTCACAAATCCCCCCCCTCTGCTCAAGCCACTGGGGCTGAGCAACTGTCCCAAACAAGCAATGGACACGGGAAAGGGCATCTACATTCTCCTGAAGTTTCCCCGTTCTATGCTCAACTGTGAATTTGAATGCTTGTAGCGCAAGAAACCACCTTGTCACTTGACTATTTTTCTCCTTGTTATCGCACATCCACTTGAACAGGGCATGATCAGTAACCAATTTGAATTGTCTTCCCAACAGTTGATATTTCAGGGCCTCCAAGGCCCATTTGATGGCCAAACATTCCTTCTCAACAAGTGCATAATTTTTCTCATGTTTGTTAAGCTTTCTGCTCAGGAAGACCACAGGTTGCTCCTCCCCATCTCTGATCTGGGACAGTACAGCACCGAGTCCTACATCAGAGGCATCAGTCTGTACCACAAAGTCTGTTGTGAAATCTGGGGTCACCAGCACAGGTTGGACACAAAGCACTTGTTTCAACCTTTGAAATGCTGTCTCCGCCTCAGGATTCCACTCAATCATGACCGACCCCCCTACCTTTTGTCAATTCTGTCAGTGGGGTAATTGGGTATAAAACTCCTGTAGTATCCTGTGATCCCAAGAAATGCCCGGACTTGCTTTTTATTTATAGGTTGGGGCCACTTTTGAATCGCCTCAATTTTATTGATCTGAGGCCTAATGAGTCCTTGACCAATAATGTAGCCAAGATATTTGGCGTCCTCCAAGCCTATGGCGCACTTTTTTTGGGTTGGTGGTAAGACCTGCTTTCCTAAGCAAATTTACTACAGATTGCAAGCAGGACAAATGAGACTCCCAGTCTGGACTGTGGATGACAACATCGTCCAACTAGGCAGTTGCGTATTGGCGATGTGGTTTTAACGTTCTGTCCATCATTCTCTGGAATGAGGCAGGAGCACCATGCAAACCAAATAGCATCCGCTTATATTGGAAGGACCCCTCAGGGGTAGAGAATGCCGTCTTTTATTTTACAGATTCCGTTAGGGGTATCTGCCAAAAGCCTTTAGTCAAATCTAAGGTAGTTATGTATTGAGCTGTTCCAAACCTGTCAATGAGCTCATCCACCCGAGGCATTGGGTAGGCATTGAATTTAGACACACTGTTCAATTTCCTGAAATTATTACAAAATCGAATGGTTCCATCTGGCTTTGAGACCAACACTATGGGACTTGACCACTCATTGTGAGATTCCTCGATCACTCCCAACTCTAACATGTTCTTTATTTCATTTGCCACCGCTTCCCGCCTGGCCTTGGGTATTCTATAGGGCTTTACATTTACACGGACACCCAGCTGTGTCCAGGTAGGTGAGAGAAAAAATCTTAATTTCTTCTCACAAATTCCTTAACATCATTCTGTTGGGCTACTGACAAGATTTCAGTTACAGGTACCTGAGGGACCATGTCCTTTTGGGTGCTTGGTACTGCCAGTAAACTCTCTCTGGCCTTCCAAGGTTTTAAGAGACTAACGTGATATAGTTGCTCAGGTTTCCTTTTCCCTGGCTGGTAAACTTTATAATTTACTTCCCCCACTTTCTCCCTAATTTCAAAGGGACCTTGCCACTTTGCAAGGAATTTACTCTCCATGGTGGGAACTAGCACCAGCACTCTATCCCTAGGGTTGAAGGTATGGATCCTGGCACCCCAGTTATAAACTCTTCTCTGGGCCTCCTGGGCTTGCTCCATATGTTCCCATATAAGTGGCATGACGGCTGTGATTCTATCCTGCATCTGTGAGATATGCTCGCTAACGCTTCTATAGGGCGTGGTCTCTCCCTCCCATGTTTCTTTTGTGACATCTAGCAAATCCCTGGTATGTCTACCATACAGTAGTTCAAAAGGCGAGTACCCTGTAGACGCCTGAGGTACTTCTCGTATAGCAAACATGAGGTATGGTAACAAAAAATCCAAATTTCTCCCATCTTTGTCCAGCACCTTTTTGAACATATTCTTAAATGTCTTGTTAAATCTCTTCACAAGCCCATCGGTTTGGGGGTGGTAGACCGAGGTACAGAGATGGGAGATTTTGAACAACTTGCATAATTCTTTCATGACTTTGGACATAAATGGCGTTCCCTGATCCGTTATATCTCTTTTGGAATATCTACACGACCAAATACCCGGAAAAGCTCTCTGGCAATAGTCTTATCAGAGGTATTACGCAAGGGAATGGCTTCAGGATATTGGGTGGCATAGTCCAGTATAACCAGTATGTGCTGATTGCCCCAGGCAGACTTTACTACTGGTCCCACTAGATCCTTGCCCACTCTTTCAAAAGGCATTTCATTTATTGGTAAAGGTACTAGTGGACTGTGAAAATGGGGAGAAGGTGCAGAATACTGACATTCTGGGCATGACTCACAATACTTGTCAGGAATGGGCTCAGCACAGGTGGTGCTGGGGCTCACCTGCCTTGTGGGCTACAGTACCAGTGCTGGCCAGCGGGTGCGCTCAGCAGCCAGAATCTCATTCCTGCAGTTAAGCCATCACCTGAGGCTGATTACAGGAGGTGTATTTAAGCAATGGCCAGGCCTGCAGTCAGTGCCTTGGTGTTGTTTCCCATGAGCCCCTGTATCTTGTTACCTGTGCCTGATCCTCTGTTCTGTGAAGTACCCTTTGTTGCAGACCCTGCTTTGATCCTGCTGACTGTCTCCTGCACTGACCCCTGGCTCTTTATCTGACTACTCTCGGCTTGCTCCTCCTGTACCTACCTGCCCGTTAGTTGCTGAACCTGGCTCGTGACCTGACTACTCCCCGCCTATTCCTTCTGTACCTACCTGCCCGATAGTTACCGACCCAGCCTGCCTGACTACGCTTGTGTTCCCGCATATATTGAGACTAGCTTAAGGCTTGGTTTGGTTTTGCACTCTGTGCTCTGTGTATTGTTTAACCTTAAATAAATTATATTACTTTTACACCATACTTGAAGCCTGCGTTTCCCTGTGTCAGTCCACACATCTCTGGTCATACCTGGATCTCTGACAATATTCTTTGACATCTGCATGCAAACCTGGCCAAAAGAATCTCTGGGTTATTATTATTCAGGATTTATATGGCGCCAACAGTTTGCTCAGCGCTTTACAATAGAACGGGAGACAATACAGCAACAATACAGTTCAATACAAGAGGGATAGGAGGGCCCTGCTCCTTGGAGCTTACAATCTAGGAGGGAGGGGCTAGTGGTACAAAAGGTAGTAACTATGGGGGATGGACTGGTTGGAAGAGTAGACGATTCCATTATTAGCTGAGGGCAGGATAGGCTTCCCCGAAGAGATAGGTTTTCAGAGATTGCCTAAAAGTGAGCAGAGGTAGAGAGTTCCAGAGGATGGGGGAAGCTCTGGAGTAGTCCTGGAGATGAGCATGGTAGGAGAAGATAAGGGAGCTAGAGAGCAGGAGGTCATGTGAGGAGCGGAGAGTACGGTTTGGGTGATATTTAGAGACAAGATCGGTGATGTAATTTGGGGCGGAGTTATAAATGGCTTTATATGTTATTGTTAATGTTTTGAATTTTATCCGTTGGGCAATGAGAAGCCAGTGGATGGATTGGCATAGAGGGGTGGAGGATACAGAACGTTTAGTAAGGTGGATGAGTCTGGCAGCAGCATTCATGATAGACTGAAGAGGGGATAGCCTGCGATGAGGTTGGCCAATGAGGATGGAGTTACAATAGTCAAGGCGAGATATAACATCCTCTCCTTAGTTTTCTTTATACCCAAGTGTCCACCCATTATATGCCATGGGCCAAATCTAGTACCATCCAGCGAAAGGGTTTGGGGACCACTAGCTGCTCCACCACCTCCTACCCTTGCTTTACCACTTGATACAACAAGCTATTTTTAAGAGCCATGTAGGGAAAAGACACTCCTACACCAGTTTCAACCTCTAGGTCAGGCAGCATATTCTGTCCACTCTCATTAGAGCTAGAGATTATCTCTTGTTCAGTATCCTCAACGTCTGGGTTGGAATCCAGCTCCTCCCGCCATTACAGAGAAAGGGAAAGGATCTACCCCTTCCTTGGACACACCAACAGTTGCCACTTCAACTTTGCAGTCAAAGGGGTCAGGAGTGAGTTCAGGTGTTTCCCCAGCTGGGGGAGCTCGGTCCTCCTGACTCCTCTCCTTTTCCCACAACCTCCAGAAATGGGGAAAATCTCTCCCTACTATAGCTTCATGAAGCAGTGAGGGTACCACTCCCACTGAATGTGTTACAGGGCCCCAGGGAGTATCAATCTCAACCATAGCAGTCTGGTAGTTCCGTGTATCACCATGAATACAAATAACCCCAATAGTGCTGGGGGGTATCCTTGCGGGGTTTACCAAATCACCTTTGACTACGGTCACCACACTACTAGAGTCTAGCAGAGCAGTTACCGGCTTTTCATCAATTGCAACCACACACATTTGCTTTTCCGTGTGTTCCTGACATGCTGCAGTACATACCACCTGTGCAAAAAGAGACATGCGTTATTCTAAGTAAGCATTTTCACATTGCAAATTTTCATCATTTAGGGAACAGTTCGCAGCAATACGACCGAACGCATGGCAACGATAATACTTCATAGATTCTGCACCCAGACCTCTAAACGGCATAAATACTGTACAGGGACATGATTAAAAAAAATTTGTAAATGCATTGAAAACCAATTAATCCGTTCGTATTGCGAAAAAATTCATAAACTGAGCCATTATTGTCAATGGATTTTCATTCGTAAACAGAAAATTACGTTAACTGAGGCGTTCGTAAACCAAGGTACGCCTGTATAGTACATACCAGGGGCGGACTGACCATTTGGAAACTCAAGCACTGCCCGAGGGCCCGGGAGCAGTAGGGGGCCCCATGAGATGTCCCTGGTACCTTTTTCATAGGTTTTTTTGAGTTTGGGCAAGGACACACGGGCACCATGATCCCCTATTGCCTGGGGGCCCCATGAGTTGTCAGTCCACCCCTGCTACATATACAGCCTAAGGCCGTGTTCACAGTAGGACATGTTTCTGGGACTGCAGTTCTTGTGAGCTCTACAAGGTGGCCATCTCACTCATATTGAGAAATCTCTATGGCAGACAGGAAGTGATGTCAGGAACAGACAGGAAGTGATGTCAGGTACAGACAGGAAGTTCTGGGTGAGAGGTGATTGTGGAGGAAGCAGAGAGGAGACGTTGGTGGAAGTGGCAGCAAAGGAGGTAATAAGATGTTATTTCCTATGTACACCCAGTAACCCCCCGTCATGTCCATCCTCTTCCCCCATGGTCACGTCCGTCCTCTTCCCCCATGGTCACGTCCGTCCTCTTCCCCCATGGTCACGTCCGTCCTCTTCCCCCATGGTCACGTCCGTCCTCTTCCCCCATGGTCACGTCCGTCCTCTTCCCCCATGGTCACGTCCGTCCTCTTCCCCCATGGACACGTCCGTCCTCTTCCTCCATGGTCACGTCCATCCTCTTCCCCCATGGTCACGTCCATCCTCTTCCCCCATGGTCACGTCCGTCCTCTTCCTCCATGGACACGTCCGTCCTCTTCCCCCATGGTCACGTCCGTCCTCTTCCCCCATGGTCACGTCCGTCCTCTTCCCCCATGGCCACGTCCGTCCTCTTCCCCCATGGCCACGTCCGTCCTCTTCCTCCATGGTCACGTCCGTCCTCTTCCCCCATGGTCACGTCCGTCCTCTTCCTCCATGGTCACGTCCATCCTCTTCCCCCATGGTCACGTCCGTCCTCTTCCCCATGGTCACATCCGTCCTCTTCCTCCATGGACACGTCCGTCCTCTTCCCCCATGGTCACGTCCATCCTCTTCCCCCATGGTCACGTCCATCCTCTTCCCCCATGGTCACGTCCGTCCTCTTCCTCCATGGACACGTCCGTCCTCTTCCCTCATGGTCAGGTCCGTCCTCTTCCTCCATAGTCACTGTGACGTCTTTTATCTCCAGCAGATGATGATACACACATATATAGTGTGGGAACCCAGATTAACCCCTTCAGGGGCACAACATTCCCCCACTTCCGGGGCCGGAACATTCTCCTCATTGTGGAGATGGGTCACCTTCTCCCTGGAGATGAGATGAACATACCTGGGTTTGGGGGGAGACGGCTCCACAGAACACAACTAAAGTTCTGGTGCTGAATCCAAACCCCATGGAAGATGAATTAAAAAAAAAACAAAAACATAGGAACAGCCGTTTTCTAGGCTAATAGGCAAGAGATTGTCAGACAAATAGTATGGGTTGGGGGGCTGCATGAGCTTATTTACTGCGTTCGTCATGTGTAGGACAGAACACTGAATTTGATTTTCCCTTCTAAAGCTAAAGAAGAATGTAGACCCCCGTGCCCACAAGCAGCAATATATAGAACCGGCACCTGTGACAGAACGTTCTGATCAGGCTGGTAGGACAGGATATAAGAGGTGTGCAGGGTGCTAGAAACCCAACAAGCACAAAGGAACCCAAACTACGTTTGTCATTGGGGGCAGCCCGCCTATTAACTCCTTATATCCCCATCCTCATGTTGTACAACCAATAATTCAGTCTAGATAATTCTCTGCTATCCATCTGTAGGGAGACCCACATAGATTGCATCACATGACTGCATCAATGAGGATGGAGGAGGACCGAAGTCACATGACTGAGAGGATACTTAAACTCACCCTGGAGATCATCTACCTGCTGACCGGAGAGGTGAGGAGGATTCTGGGAGCTTACATGACATCACTCTTATCTCTATTAATAAAACACAGACCTGACCGGAGAGGTGAGGAGGATTCTGGGAGGTCACATGACATCACTCTTATGTCTATTAATAAACCACAGACCTGACCGGAGAGGTGAGGAGGATTCTGGGAGGTCACGTGACATCACTCTTATCTCTAATAGTAAAACACAGACCTGACCGGAGAGGTGAGGAGGATTCTGGAAGGTCACGTGACATCACTCTTATCTCTATTAATAAAACACAGACCTGGCCGGAGAGGTGATGAGGATTCTGGGAGGTCACATGACATCACTTATCTCTATTAATAAAACACAGACCTGACCGGAGAGGTGAGGAGGATTCTGGGAGGTCACATGACATCACTCTTATCTCTATTAATAAAACACAGACCTGACCGGAGAGGTGAGGAGGATTCTGGGAGGTCACGTGACATCCATCTGATCTCTATTAATAAAACAAACTTGACCGGAGAGGTGAGGAGGATTCTGGGAGGTCACGTAACATCACCCTTATCTCTATTAATAAAACACAGATCTGACCGGAGGTGAGGAGGATTCTGGGAGGTCACGTGACATCACTCTCATCTCTATTAATAAAACACAGACCTGACCGGAGAGGTGAGGAGGATTCTGGGAGGTCACATGACATCATTCATCTCTATTAATAAAACACAGACCTGACCGGAGAGGTGAGGAGGATTCTGGGAGGTCACGTGACATCACTCTTATCTCTATTAGTAAAACACAGACCTGACTGGAGAGGTGAGGAGGATTCTGGGAGTCTAACATGATATTCCTATTGGTTCCTCAATACAGAGATTTCCTCTTCTGAAGTCAGGTGATCATATGACCATCACAGTGCCTCCATGTGACTCCCTAAAACCTGAGAGACACAACATGCAGAAGATTCTAGAAGTCACCAAGAAGATGATGGAGCTGCTGACAGGAGAGGTGAGCGGTGCCGGGAATTCTGGGACATTCTCCAGTAACAGACAAGGGATGTGTCTGGATGGTGACTGTATCATTGTGTGTGTCAGGTTCCTATAAGGTGTCAGGGTGTCACTGTCTATTTCTCCATGGAGGAGTGGGAGTATTTAGAAGGACACAAGGATCTCTACAAGGACGTCATGATGGACAATCAGCCGCCCCTCACATCACCGGGTAAGAGGAGACTTTATTGTAAAGGAGAGAGCAGTACGGAGGATCCACCTAGATCCCCCATCATCTGATAAACACATAGAAACAATGGATTCAGTCAGTGTGTGTGTTTCCTACAGATGGATCCAGTCATGGGAACCCACCAGAGAGATGTCCCCGTCCTCTGTATTCCCGGGATTCCACACAGGAAGATCACACCATCCCTCACCATCATCAGGTAGATGAGGAACAATCACTGATAGTATCATTAGGATCTGTACATTATCTGCATTGTTACAAATTATGTATTTTTTAAAATATTTATTTAGAGTGGAGACCTGAGTGATTCTAAAGTTCATATTAAAGAAGAGATAAAAGAGGAGGAGGATGATGGTGTGATGGAGGAGTTGGAGCCACAAAAAGTACACAAAGATCTGTACCAGGACACCATGGTGGAGTCATCCAGCTACAGAAACCCACCAGAGAGATGTCCCCGTCCTCTGTATTCATGGGATTCCACACAGGAAGGTCACATCATCCACCATGATCAGGTAGATGATCAGCATTTATTGGTAGTTATGATTTATACACAGTATGTTTGTTACAACAAATGTTTATTATATATTCAGAGTGGAAACCTCGGGGATTATAATATTGTTGTTAAAGAAGAGTTTAAAGAGGAGGATGAGCACTATGGCATGATGGAGGAACTTTCAGAAGCATACAAGGATCTCTACAAGGACATAATGTTGGAAAATTGGCTGCCCCTCACATCACCGGGTAAGAGGAGACTTTATTGTAAAGGAGAGAGCAGTACGGAGGATCCACCTAGATCCCCCATCATCTGATAAACACATAGAAACAATGGATTCAGTCAGTGTGTGTGTTTCCTACAGATGGATCCAGTCATGGGAACCCATCAGGGAGATGTCCCCGTCCTCTGTGTATTCCCAGGAAGGTCACACCATCTCTCATTATCATCAGGTAGGTGGAGTTGAGGGTCTGGAACATAAAGTGATTGCACATTCTGAAATGTGGGGACGATGTGTGGACTCTACAAGTTGATATTTCTCTTTGCCTAGCGCTTAAGAGGTAGGACAAAGTGGTTTTTTTTCCGCTCTCTCTGCCTTTTATTTCTTTCTGTTCCTGTCAATTGGATTTTTGTCTTTATCAACCTGCGAGAGTATGCACTTGCCTGCCCAGGTGAGTTCAGTTGCAATCACTCGACTATGGTGGAGTGGCCCAGATGGCTGTGTTCCTTCATGACCATTCCTGGTCGTTCCATCGCAGCACCAGATTCAGATTGGTGGCGGTATTGCTTGTGGGGCAGAGTTGTACTGTTTGAGAAAGTGCTTCTGACCTGGGATTGCCTGAGTCTTGCTATGCCAACTGCTGAGCACAGATAACACAGGCACAAAGACATTTCCCAGGAGCCACTGCTGGAGATAACAGCACCGGGCCAGGTCAAGATCCCTTCTACAGGGATTTGTATACTTTATTAGCAGCAATGGGTAAACTGTTGCAGTCATCCCGCAACTGCCATTTTTTTTTTTACTGTGGGCACCTGTCTTGCTGGAGTTTTCCCCCGCTGGGACTGGTGTTTCTTGTATTCTCGAGGGGTGGTCCTTCTTCCTGAGTGCAACCCCATCAGATCCTCTCTGTAACAGGTACCACTGCTGTTTCTCCTTAGGTGTGTGCATGGTGTGGTGAGAAGTTCCTGTTTGGGAACACTTGTTGTCTGCAAACATTCACCCCTTTATAGTCATGACTGAGTCATGGTGGTTGTGTCAAGGGGTACTTGGGGATCCTCTCCCCTCCTCTGCCAGTTGCAGGGTGACTGGGGCTGCTTCCCACTTGGACACTCTCAGCATCTCCTACTAAAATCCTCATTCCTGGAGGCCACTGTTTCGGCTCAGGATGCGGGCCAGGGCCCCTTATTAAAGTTTAACAATTGATCAATTGGAGAGGGCCTTATTGCAGAAGCCTCCTACAAATTGCCCGCCATCATTGGCATCTGTGTTCGAAATCTTGGGCGATGAACATGCTTCTCTTGCAGGTCTGGAGACCACCATGGAGGCAGGAACCACATCAGCAACTTCTAACAGCAAAAATAAGTTTCCATCTGCTATTTTGACATGAGAAAAAGAGCTGATTTTGGCTCTTACTAGGGCTCTTCGGGAGAACTTTGAAAATTGAGGAATTGCCTTTGAAGTCAGAGATCTCCACAATCTGGTTTGCGACTCATAAGCATAACAAAACCTCAAAAGGATTTCCTTATGGTTCCTTCTTTGATGGAATAATTTACACTATAACGGATTCCAGTCTGTTCAATTTATCAAGGTCCTACTTTTCTTTAGGGCTTGTGCTGCTCCATATGCTGGCATCCATTTAGGTCTGCAAAGCATTGTGGGATCCTTTGTGCTTTCAGCCCTCTGCGGCTCCTCCCAGGAGGTGGCGGCTTATCACATTTAAGTCTGCTGTTTGCAGCTGTCCATTGCATTCGTGTCCTGTCTGTTGCACAGCAGCAAGCTCCTGTTCAGTTAACTCTTTACTCTCCTGGATACCGACTTGGCTTTGGCTAAGACTCCTCCTGGCTTCTGACCCCGGCTCTGGCGACCTTTCTTCCTGGCTTCTAACCCCGGCTCTGGAAACCATTCTTCCTGGCTTCTGACCCCGGCTCTGGCGACCATTCTTCCTGGCTTCTGACCCCGGCTTTGGCTACGATTCCCGCTGGTTCTCGACTTGATGATCCTGGAAGACGACCTCGGCAGGAGAACTTCTGTCCTACCAAGTCATCCGCTGTTGCTGTCGGACTTGCATAGACTCTTGCCTTGTTTCTGTGTAAATAAATCTACCTTTAATTGCACCTCCTTGTGTGTCTGGCCCCTCACTCCCTGACACAATTGGAAGGAAGTGCTGGTCCAGTTGTCATTTTCAAGGTCAATGGGAAACCATGTTTTCCGTCAGCATCTTGGAACTTAGAATGATCAACCTCTTTCTCATCCATTGGATGGCTCTTTTCAAGGATTGCCCAATCAGGGTCCAGTGGCACAACATCACAGCTGTGGCCTACACCAATCACCAGGGCAGTACAAGTCAGTTATTGTTTCAAGGTCAGAGGAAACCATGCTTTCCGTCAGCATCTTGGAACTTAGAATGATCAATCTCTTCCTCATCCATTAGATGGCTCTTTTCAAGGATTGCCCAATCAGAGTCCAGTGGGATAACATCACAGCTGTGGCCTACATCAATCACCAGGGCAGTACAAAGCACTCAGCAGCTGCGCTGGAGGTGTATCTGATTCTTGGTTGGGTGGAACTTCATGTTCCAGCCTTGTCCACCGTTCACATTCTGGGAGTGGACAATTGGTCGGTGGACTATCTAAATCTTCAATGTCTGGATCAAGGGCAGTGGTCTCATCTTATTTGGATATTTTTTTTCCAGATTTGTCAACGCTGGGGCAGACCAGATATTGATCTCCTTGTGTCCTGATTTAATCGGAAAATTCCTAGGTTTGTGGCCAGGGAAAAAGGTCCCTGGGCCAATGTGTTGGATGCACTGGTGGCTCTATGACAGGTACTACTTGATCTATGTCTTTCCTCCTCTGAACCCCCAGTTGATACAGAGGATAGAGCAGAGCAGGAGAGCTGATTGTTACTCTGAAGAGATGAGCGCAGTTGCATCTGTTTGGTGACAGATGTCATAGACATGTTCATGACATCTTCTGTTACACCTGGACCTTCTCATCCAAGGTCCGATCTGCCACCCTGCTTCACAGTCACTGGCCTTAGCATTATGGCTGTTTGAAAGCCAGGTGCTGAAGAACAAGAGACTTTTTCTTCTGCTGTTATTTCTTCGATGCTTCTGGCTCCAAAGTCCACCTACCATTTCATTTATTATTGTACCTAGAAGGCTTATATTGCTTATTGCAAATCGCTGGGTTTTTACTTGCTCAGAATTTATGTGGACCGGCCTAATGCACTGATCACCATGAAGGGTCAGGTTTTTGCTTTGGTCATACTTTTCCAATGCCCATTGGCTTCCCTTTCTCTGGTTTGTACTTTCATCCATGGAGTTATGCGAGTCTTTCCACCTACAATGTTTCCACTGACACCGTTGGATCTGAATTTAGTTTTTTTTTAGTCCTGCTAAATATCTGGGAAATTCCTCCTTTGACTCTCTTGCAAAAGTAGGCCATCCTGGTGGCCAACATTTTAACAGAACTAGCAGCTCTGTCTGGTAAGCAACCGGTTTTATTGCTACATAGTGATAAGATGGTACTTTGGCCTCGGTTTTCTTTCCTGCTGAAGGTTGTGTTGGCCATTCACTTGAATGAGGACATCGTCTTGCCTTCTCTGTGTCCTAATCCCTCCCATCCTAAGGAAGTGGCACTTCATGATGTGGTTTGGGCCACTAGAATTTACTGAATCCTGCAGCCTCCCTTCTGAAGACGGATTCCCTGTTCGTAGTCACTGATGGTCCTAGGAAAGGACAGGTGGCCTCATTGTCTACCATTTCCAGGTGGATTCCTCTGATGCCTATGTCCTTTCAGGCTGGGAAACTCCCGTGTCCCGTTACCAAGAGCTCCAACACATTATGGGCTTGTCATCATTTTGACTCTGTGGCTCAGGTTTACAAGGCGGCTACCCGTTCGTACTTTTACCAAGTTTTAGAAAGTTGATATTGCTCCCTCTGCAGAAGCTACTTTTGACCATAAGGTATTGCAGGCAGCAGTTTGAGTTCTGCTTGGGTGTGCTCCCTTACTATTTTTGGATGTTTATGTTTGACACACAAATCTATCTCTCTACCCCTCACCTCACCCCTTCAGTCTCCTCTCACATTACTAACCTACTAAGTGACGTATTGGCATGGATGTCACTCCACTTCCTCAAACTCAATCTTTCCAAAACTGAGCTCTTAGTATTCCCTCCAGCCCGTGCCCCCTCCCGACTTCTCCATCAAGATCAATAACACAACCATCAGTCCCTCCCCTCATGCCAGGGTACTAGGTGTCATCCTAGACTCCCATCTGTCCTTTCAGCCCCAAATCCAATCACTGTCCAAATCTTGTAGACTTCACCTCCGCAACATCTCCAAGATATGGCCGTTCCTAACCTCGGAAACCACTAAGCAACTTATTCACTCCCTTGTTATATCTCGCCTTGACTATTGTAACTCCCTCCTCATTGGCCAACCTCATCGCTGGCTATCCCCTCTTCAGTCTATCATGAATGCTGTTGCCAGACTCATCCACCTTAGTAACCGTTCTTTATCAGCCACCCCTCTCTGCCAATCCCTCCACTGGCTTCCACTCAGTGTCCTCCACCTCTCTCTGCCAATCCCTCCACTGGCTTCCACTCAGTGTCCTCCACCTCTCTCTGCCAATCCCTCCACTGGCCTCCACTCAATATCCTCAACCCCTCTCTGCCAATCCCTCCACTGGCCTCCATTCAGTGTTCTCCATCCCTCTCTGCCAATCCGTCCACTGGCCTCCACTCAGTATTCTCAACCCCTCTCTGCCAATCCCTCCACTGGCCTTCATTCAGTGTCCTCCACCCCTCTCTGCCAATCCCTCCACTGGCTTCCACTCAGTGTCATCCAACTCTCTCTGCCAATCCCTCCACTGGCCTCCACTCAATATCCTCAACCCCTCTCTGCCAATCCCTCCACTGGCCTCCATTCAGTGTTCTCCATCCCTCTCTGCCAATCCCTCCACTGGCCTCCACTCAGTATCCTCAACCCCTCTCTGCCAATCCCTCCACTGGCCTCCATTCAGTGTCCTCCACCCCTCTCTGCCAATCCCTCCACTGGCCTCCATTCAGTGTCCTCCACCCCTCTCTGCCAATCCCTCCACTGGCTTCCCTTCAGTGTCCTCCACCCCTCTCTGCCAATCCCTCCATGGGCTTCCCATTGCCCAATGGATAAAATTCAAAACATTAACAATAACGTATAAAACCATTTATAACTCTGCCCCAAATTACATCACCGATCTTGTCTCCAAATATCACCCAAACCGTACTCTCCGCTCCTTGAAAGACCTCCTGCTCTTTAGCTCCCTTGTCTCCTCCTCCCATGCTTGTCTCCAGGACTTCTCCAGAGCTTCCCCCATCTTCTGGAACTCTCTACCCCAATTTATCAGACTATCGCCTACTCTGTTCACTTTTAGGCGATCTCTGAAATCCTCTCTCTTCAGGGAAGCCTATCCTACCCTCAGCTAATACTGGAATCTTCTACTCTTCCAACCAGTCCATCCCCCATATTTACTACCTTTTGTGCCACTAGCCCCTCCTAGATTGTAAGCTCCCAGGATCAGGCCCTCCTATCCCTCTTGTATTGAACTGTATCCTTGCTGTATTGTCCCCCGTTATATTGTAAAGCGCTGAGCAAACTGTTGGCGCTATATAAATCCTGTATAATAATAATAATGTTTACTTCTGAGCCCACCTCCTTTGCTTCTGGCCCTGCTTTGGGACATCCCATTGGTCATGATCTACAGATTCAGCTGTTTCCTACACTGAACGAAGGAGAAAATTGTATTTTTTGTACTTGTAAAATTCTTTCTTCTGCAATCATTGAAGGACACAGCACCCACCTTCTTGTATGGTTTCCTGCCTCGGTTATTGGTTCCTATTTACTGCTGGCTCCCAACTGAGCTGTGTAGTGCAGATGTGGGGTTTGGCCAAAAACAAGGACTGCCCCTAGGGGTTGTTTTTTGTTTAACTCCCTGGTGGAGTGAATTTATTCGCAGAAGCCCATCTAAGGTCCATCTCAGCACCCAGAGAGGGGATCTCCTGTCTACCCAGGATACTGCATCCACCATACCCTGTAAGGGACCTCTGGCTGTTTTGGATCAGTTTTAAACCCTGGGATCACCCGCTGTGACATCTACCCTTCAGAGGAAGGATTACTTTTCATCTACTCCACGTTGATCCCATTGAGAGGACATCTATATTCATATATATATATATGCAAATTAAAATTGTGCATCTGGTGAGTGCGCAATTTTATTATTTCCATCTGCATGAGCACCGAAATACCTTCGAGGTAGTCACCTCCAGATCACAATTGTCACTTTTGGGACATATAGTTTTTACGATCAGATATTCATGAACTTTAATTAATTTATTATATATTATAAAGGCAATTTATCAGATTTATTTCTACGTTATTTTATATTTGATTTTTAGGTTTTATCTCGATACCTATTGTGCTCAGCTGCTACTTGTAGTGCGCTCACTTATTTTTATCTAAAGATGAACTATACTGTCTGAATGCTGAAAGGTATTTCTGTTTTCTCTCTTTTTCCATAGTCAATGACAATATTTCTGTCTGTCCTTTTTTTTTTCTCTCCGGTGTTTTTGTAATTTTTACCTTTTTTGTACATATTTGTATGTACGTCTCCCCTGGAGATAATAAGCGGCTTCTATGTACCAAACTAGGGCTACTTACACACTGCTCTCTATGAAGAGCGCATCAAAAATGTGTATGCGGTTTTCCCACAGTGCATTAAATTTAAAGCAGCACATTATGCATTTTTGATATTTTTGCCACGTTTGTGTTGCGTTTTCCCCCTATTACTTCTTACTATTCAAATGCAATTTTCATGTGATTTCCAGTGCGACTATGGATGACTTTGATGAGACTTCATTGCGACTTTAGACATTCTCAAGCCTTTGTTCACAGAATTGCATGACAAGGAAAAAAAAAAAATGTCCTAACCTCATTGCGATTTCAGCCCAATATACTTCTATGTTATCTCACAAAAGTCGCATCAGCATAGATAAGAAACATTCCTATGCGGCTTTGATACATCCGTGTTTTTTTTTTTTTAACCCTCGTTTCTCCTCCCTTATCCTTGCTGCCTAAAACCTAGGTTCACTCTAAAGTAGTTTTGATGCCTCCTTTGATCCATCGATCCTACTTTTTATCGATCCTTTTATTGATCGATCCTTCCTTTTATTGATTGATCGATCCTTCCTTTTTATCTTCTTTTTATTGATTTATCCTTCCATTTATCGATCAATCCTTCAACCGAAGGAAGGTTTGAAGAAAGGATCAATGGAAGGAAGGAAGCAAAGATTGATCGATTGAAGGGTCATTTCATCGATCAAAGAAAGGGTCGACCAATCCAAGGAAGGATCAATTAAGTTCTGTTATGTAACAGTTAATGTACTACAGAGCGTGATAGAAAGGCCTACAAGATAGTGGAACAAATACCATCTTAGTTGAGTGCGGATGATGCTAATAGCAGTGATGGCTGCCAGAAAAAGGATTAGTCAATGCTAGGAGTAGTGACAGGGGAGCTGAGGATGCCGAAGGAGCTGAGGATGCCGAGGGAGCTTAATGAGCTGAGGATGCCGAGGGAGCTGAATGAGCTGAAGATGCTGAATGAGCTGAGGATGCCAAGGGAGCTGAATGAGCTGAGGATGCTGAATGAGCTGAGGATGCCAAGGTAGACAAATGAGCTGAGGATGCCGAGGGAGCTGAAGATGCTGAATGAGCTGAGGATGAGCTGAAGGAGATGAGGATATTGAGGCAGCTGACTATTCTGAAGGAACTGAGGATGCCGAGGGAGACGAAAGAGCTGAGGATGCCGAGGGAGACGAATGAGCTGAGGATGCCAAGGGAGCTGAAGTTGCTGAGGGAGCTGAATAAGCTGAAAGAGCTGAGAATGCCAAGGGAGCTGAAGATGCCATTAAAGAAGAGGATGCCAAGGCAGCTGAATACGCCGAGGCAGCTGAATACGAGGGAGCTAACTACACCGAGGGAGCTGAATACGTCGAGGGAGCTGAATACGTCGAGGGAGCTGAATACGTCGAGGGAGCTGAATACGCCGAGGGAGCTGAATACGCCGAGGCAGCTGACTAAGCTGAAGGAGATGAGGATGCTGAGGCAGCTGACTATTCTGAAGGAGCTGAGGATGCCAAGGGAGCTGAATAAGCTAGGGAGCTGAGGATGCCGAGGGAGTTGGTAAAGCTGAGGATGCCAAGGGAGCTGAATGAGCTGAGGATGCCGAGGGAGCTGAATGAGCTGAGGATGCCGAGGGAGCTGAATGAGCTGAGGTTACTGAGGGAGCTGAAGTTGCTGATAGAGCTGAATAAGCTGAAAGAGCTGAGAATGCCAAGGGAGCTGAGGATGCTGAGGCAGTCAAATACGCCGAGGCAGCCGAATACGCCGAGGCAGCCGAATACGCCGAGGGAGCTGAATACACCGAGGGAGCTGAATACGTCGAGGCAGTTGACTAAGCTGAAGGAGATGAGGAGGCTGAGGGAGCTGAGGATGCCAAGGGAGCTGAGGATGCCGATGACTGTGGCTTTCATAATTCATGCATGAAAAAGGTGTCTGGTGTGTGTGGTCAGGGGAAGAAGTGATTACACCCAAGATTCTCGCTTGGGCAACCTCAGACGTGTCCAGAATTTACTAGGAGACTCCACAACCCTTGAAGTGCACCAGGTTGTATGCAAGATTTGTATCTGCCTGTGTGTGGCCAGCCAGCTAGATTTGGGTGACATTGCACTTCAAGTGGCAGCCAGTGGCATTGCAGGCTGTGATAATTGATTCACAGCATTTTTGTTTTTTTTTACGTGCTCAAAGTAAACTCTCTCCTCATTCCTCCTCCACCAAGCAAGGTCCTCACCTTGGTTAGTGAGTCTCCATGGATGTGCATCCTTCACAATGGTATCTTCTTCCATTCTGTTGGTTTAGGGTGAAGATCTGATGAAGATGAAAGTTGAGGGTGAAGTAGAAGAGACGTATGTGAGGGATGATCAGCAATATACGGAGGAGGCTGGAATGACGAGGACATTCAAAGAGGAGGACACTCCTACAGAGATCAGCACAGGTGAGCCACAATATATTCTTCTGTTATCACTGCTCTGTTACTGCACACTAATTGTCCCAGAGTAGGGCGGGAGATGAGTGATGTCATAGGTGAAAAGAGGGTTCCTCCTAAAAATACATACCAGATGCTCATCTAAGCATGCAACTAAGCAGGAGAGGAAAGGGGGGCAAGTGTTTGACTACATTCCTGGGCCTTATGCCCTCAACATATGGCAGTACCTTGCCTGGGGGATTGCTCTGGTAAATAACCTTTACACATGTTTCGGAAAAAATCCTCTAAAAAAGATCTCTAAAAAATATAGGGGCTCTCGGATCCCCAGTATGACAGACTAAGTGGTACATAGCACCCCTACTGTTCTGTTCCAGATGACACTTAATGCATTGACATACCACTTTAGGCCCAGTCTGTCCAAAATGTATGGTCACCTGCTGAATAGGCACCATCCACAGGTACGTAGCTTAACTCTTCAGAAAGACAAGAATGTTGAATCCAGCTCAATTTTTACTTCAGCTAATTGCAGTACAGAGGATTTTTTTCCAGTCTTTTGACATGCACTATCCTTCTCGAACTCCTCTTACTAATACTTCATTTAGCTGAGGTATAGCTAAAGATTAACTAAAACTCTATTAACACTCTTGTTGGGGTAAAAAGTCAGTAGTAATCCAGATACCTAGGCCTATGATCTCTTGTTCTGTGCTGAAGGTTCTCCAAGTATGAACGTTGAACCTCTTTCTTATCAGAGATCACATGACCCAGCATCTGGGCTTGTGGTTGTGTGAAGAGCATGCCCCTCCCAGTCCCCATTGGTTCCTGCTCTTCTGACAAGGCTGGGGAAATGTAGAAGTGATCTGGGGGGAGGACCAAAGGACCTTTTTACTGAAGAGGGGAAGTCACAGCTGGTTGGGAAATCCACAGAGGGGGAAGTCACAGCTGGTTGGGACATCCACAGAGAACGTCTGCTCACTAAAACCTACCTGATCCAGATGGAATCTGGATTTGATACCTAGGCCTATGGTCTCTTGTTCTCTACTAAAGGTTCTCCAGGTCTAAACTTTGAACCTCTCCATTATCAGGGATCACATGACCCAATGTCTAGGCTTGTGGTTGTGTGAAGAGCATGCCCCTCCCAGTCCCCATTGGTTCCTGCTCTTCTGGCAAGGCTGGGGAAATGTAGAAGTGATGTGGGGGGAGGACCAAAGGACCTTTTTACTGAAGAGGGGGAAGTCACAGCTGGTTGGGACATCCATAGAGAACGTCTGCTCACTAAAACCTACCTGATCCAGATGGAATCTGGATTTGATACCTAGGCCTATGGTCTCTTGTTCTCTACTAAAGGTTCTCCAGGTCTAAACTTTGAACCTCTCCATTATCAGAGATCACATGACCCAGTGCCTAGGCTTGTGGTTGTGTGAAGAGCATGCCCCTCCCAGTCCCCATTGGTTCCTGCTCTTCTGACAAGGCTGGGGAAATGTAGAAGTGATCTGGGGGGAGGACCAAAGGACCTTTTTACTGAAGAGGGGAAGTCACAGCTGGTTGGGAAATCCATGGAGGGGGAAGTCACAGCTGGTTGGGACATCAACAGAGAACATCTGCTCACTAAAACCTACCTGATCCAGATGGAATTGATCTGGATTTGATACCTAGGCCTATGGTCTCTTGTTCTCTACTAAAGGGTCTCGTGTCTAAACTTTGAACCTCTTCATTATCAGGGATCACATGACAATGTCTAGGCTTGTGGTTGTGTGAAGGAGCATGCCCCTCCCAGTCCCATTGGTTCCTGCTCTTCGACAAGGCTGGGGAAATGTAGAAGTGATCTGGGGGGAGGACCAAAGGACCCTTTACAAAGAGGGGAAGTCGCAGCTGGTTGGGACATCTACAGAGAACATCTGCTCACTAAAACCTACCTAATCCAGATGGAATGATTTAGGTGAACTCACCCTCGTGCATCTATTGATCATGTTTTTTATATCTCCAGGACACACATCGAGGAACCCTCAAAGATCATCTCACTTTACCTCTAAGCTGTAAAATGGAAGATGAGGACATCACAAGAGATTGTGCAGGAGAAACAGCAATGATCTCAGCTATGGATGGTGGACTTCACAGTGTGGATGGACCATCAAATCCCTCCGACTCTGAGCAACCTCGTACTGTGGGGGATGGTGCCGGAATTCAGGGGGAGGAGAAATGTTCCTGTCCTGAATGTTGGGAAAGTTATAATGCTTCGTCCCATCTTTACATGCATCAGACGAAAAATATAAATCCCTGTCCTGAGTGCGGGAAATGTTTTTCAAAGCAATTAGACCTTGTTAGACATCAAAGATCTCACACCAGAGAGAAACCATTTACTTGCCCTGACTGCGGGAAATGTTTTTTACATAAATCAGACCTTGCTAGACATCAAAAGTCTCACACGGGTGAGAGGCCGTATTCCTGCACTGAGTGCGGGAAATGTTTTTTTCACAGAAATCAGACCTCGCTAGACATAAAATGTCTCACACAGGAGAGAAGCCGTATTCCTGCCCCATGTGTGGGAAATGTTATATACGGAAATCAGACTTTGTTACACATCAGAGATCTCACACAGGGGAGAAGCCGTACTCCTGCCCTGAGTGTGGGAAATGTTTTTCAGAGAAATCAAATCTTTACGCACATCAAAGGATTCACAAAGGGGAGAAGCCACATGCCTGCTCTGAGTGCGGGAAATGTTTTTCACAGAAATCAAAACTTGTCACACATCAACGAACTCACACAGGGGAGAAGCTTTTTCCCTGTCTTGAGTGTGGAAAATGTTTTCCGGAGAAGTCCAGACTTTACAGACATCAGAGGATTCACACGGGGGAGAAGCCGTATTCCTGTCCTGAATGCGGGAAATGTTTTTCACAGAAATCAGATCTTGTTAAACACCAAAGGTCTCACACAGGGGAGAGGCCGTATTCATGCCCAAGCTGTGGGAAATGTTATCTACATAAATCAGACTATGTTAGACATCAAAGATCTCACACGGGGGAGAAGCCGTATTCCTGTACTGAATGTGGTAAAAGTTTTCCGGAAAAGTCCAGTCTTTACAAACATCAGAGGATTCACACAGGGGAGAGGCCGTATTCCTGCCCTGAGTGCGGGAAATGTTTCTCACAGTCATCCCATCTTTACGTACATCAGCGGTCTCACACAGAGGAGAAGCTGTATTCCTGTCCTAAGTGCGGGAAATGTTTTTCACAGAAATCAGACCTTGTTAGGCATCAAAGATCTCATACATGTGAGAAGCAGCATTACTTTCGGGCGTGAGGGAAATGTTTTCCACAGGTGTCCCATCTTCCTACACAGCAGAGGTCTCACACAAGGGACAAGCCGTATTCCTGGAGTGTGGGAAATGTTTTTTCCTGATAGCTCCATGTCACCATACAAAGGATGATTCTGCCCTCCATTCAACTTCCTCAGGACAGTATAAATAAATAGAAAATTGAACCCCACCATATCAGAGATGTTTCTTTTTTATCCTTATTTGGTCTCCAAACTATGGCCCTCCAGCTGTTAAAGTACTACAAGTCCCATCATGCCTCTGCCTCTGGGAGTCTTCCCTGTGGGCTTTCAGAGTCTTGCAAGGCCTCATGGGATTTGCAGTTCCGCAACACTTGGAAGCCCATAGTTTGGAGACCCCTGCAAGGCCTCATGGGACTTGCAGTTCCTCAACACCTAGAGGCCCATAGCTTGGAGATCCCTGCAAGGCCTCATGGGACTTGCAGTTCCTCAATACCTGGAGGCCCACAGTTTTGAGACCCCTGCAAGGCCTCATGGGACTTGTGGTTCCTCAACACCTGAAGGCCCATGGTTTGGAGACCCCCTGCAAGGCCTCATGGGACTTGCAGTTCCTCAACACCTGAAGGCCCATAGTTTGGAGACCCCCTGCAAGGTCTCATGGGACTTGCAGTTCCTCAACACCTGGAGGCCCATAGTTTGGATACCCCTGCAAGGCCTCATGAGACTTGCAGTTTCTTAACACTTGCAGCTCGTAGTTTGGAAACCACCTGCAAGGCCTCATGGGACTTGCAGTTTCTTAACACTTGGAGGCCGTAGTTTGGAAACCCCCTGCAAGGCCTCATGGGACTTGCAGTTCCTCAACACCTGGAGGGCCGTAGTTTGGAGACCCCTGCAAGGCCTCATGGGACTTGCCAGTTCCTCGACACCTGGAGGGCTGTAGTTTGGAGACTCCTGCTCTAGAAGAAAGACTTACCTAGTTCAGTAAATCTGAGGTGCAAATATTTGGTGATGTGTCATGGGCCTTTAAAGGGGTTCTCCTGATTTACAGCTGATTTTGAGGTATTTTAATGGGATAAGTGACCAATTTTACTGACAGGGTGGCTTTCACTGGATTATGTGTCTTACATGGAGTATGATGTGTCTTGCATGGAGTATGGTGCTGCCTACTTCTTCCTTCATCATATGGTCCTATTTACCATTCAGCTGCCATAAAAAGACCTCTCTGCCCTCTGTGCTTCTACTTGGTCTCTGTACCTACAGGCCTTGTGCATCCTCTGTTCTCCGGAGGTCGGGTCTCCACCATTCCCAATGTCTGGGTAATCGGCTAAAGCACAGGATGATGAGGATTGGCATAGCCGGCACTTGTTTTCCTGAATAATAAACTTTATTGAGCGAGTAAAATGGCTTACGCGTTTCAGCAAAAAGCCTTAGTCATAGCCATCAGCCGGAACTCGTCTTCACGAATAACAAACTTTATTGAGCAAATAAAATCTGCATATAAAACGACTTACGCGTTTCGGCAATAAGCCTTACTCATAGACATCACTGGCCAAGGCAACAAAGGAGTGGCTCAAGAAGTGGCCAACCTGGGGGCCAACTACAGAAAACGTCTGACCTCTGTGATTGCCAACAAGGGATTTGCCACCAAGTACTAAGTCATGTTTTGTGAAGGGGATCAAATCCTTATTTCCCTCATGAACATGCAAATCAGTCATCATTTGTTAGATGCATTTCTGCTGAATTTTTTGTTGCTATTCTGTCTCTGGGTTGCAATACACCGAACATTCGATTTTTAGACCGATCATTTCTTTGTGAGTGGGCAAACATTCAAAATCAGCAGGAATCAAATACGTATTTCCTTCACTGTACATCTCTCTCTCCCTCTCCCCCCCCCCCTCTCTCTCCCCCCCTCTCTCTCTCTCCCCCCCCTCTCTCTCTCTCTCTCTCTCTCCCCTCTATCTCTCTATCTATCTCTCTCTACCCCCCTCCTATCTATCTCTCTCCTATCTATCTATCTACCTATCATCTATCTATCTATCTATCTATCTATCTATCTATCTATCTATCTATCTCTATCTATCTATCTATTCTCTCTCTCTCTCTCTCTCTCTCTCTCTCTCATCTATCTATCTATCTATCTATCTATCTATCTATCTATCTATCTATCTATGTATCTATCTATCTATCTCTCTCTCTCTCTCTCTATCTATCTATCTATCCCCCCCCTCTCTCTCTCTCCTATCATCTCTATCTATCTATATATTCTCTGTCTCTCTGTCTGTCTGTCTCTCTCTCATCTCTCTCCTCTCATCTCTCTCTATATATTCTCTCTCTCATCTCTCTCTCTATCATCTATCTATCTATCTATCTATCTCTCTCTCTCTCTCTCTCTCTCTCTCTCTCTCTCTCTCTCTCTCTCTCTCTCTCATCTATTAATCTATCTATTATCTATCTATTCTCTCTCTCTCTGTCATCTCTCTATCATCTATCTATATATTCTCTCTCTCTCTCTCTCTCTCTATCATCTATCTATTATCTATCTATCTCTCTCGCTCTCTCGCTCTCTCTCTCTCTCTCTCTCTCTCTCTCTTCATCTCTATCTATCTATCTATTCATCTATCATCTATCATCTATCTATCTATCGATCCATCCTTCCATCTGTACACTGTACCAGAGTTTGTAGACGCTATAACTTTCACACCAACCAGTTAATATACACTTGTTAGTTTTGGGTTTTTTATAACCAAAGACATGGAGCAGAATACATTTTGGCCTAAATTGATGACAACATTTTATTGGATGTGTTTTATAAATTAGAAAATTATTTTTTTCCAATTTTTCTGTCTTTTTTGTTCATATCATGATAAAAATAAAAAAAAAACCCCAGTGGTGATCAAACACCACCAAAAGTAGCTGTGTTTGTGTGAAACAAATGTCATTTAGATACAGTGTCGCATGACCATGCAGTTGCCAGTTAAAGTAGCACGGTGTTGAATAGCAAAAAAGCCTGGTCATGAAGGGGGTAAAACCTTCCGAAGGTCAAGTGGTTAAAGAGTCTGGGGTGAAACACCTTGATACTTCTCTGCCGGAAGACACTTTGTGAAGATTTAGAGCCCCTTCACACTTGTGCAGCTTGTCATGGGGTCCAAAGTCGTATGACAAGTCACAGGATGTGTTTCCCAATGAGTACCATTCCTTTCTGTGCAACTTCAAGACTTGAAAAGCAGTTCCTGCGCTACTTTTGGTCTGACTTTCATGGAACTTGATGGCCATACACTTCGAAGTAAACCTTCCAAAGTCGCATGAAAGCCGCACCTGAATTATATACATGAGACTTGTGTGCGACTTTGTAGAGCACAAACAATCATCCTTGGTCAAAGTCGCACTCAACCAAAGTCGCAATGAAAATGGAGTGTGAATGGAGCCTTAGGGATGTGCTGGACAGGCTCGTAAACTTGGATTTATAGATCATCTATGTAAATTCAGTCTTCCATCAAGCAATAGCCATGACAGCGGTGGTGAATGTTCGAGTCGAACGCAAGTTTGACTAGAGCATGGGCGAGTCATGTGTTTGCTGAACACACAAACGGTAAGGGCATTTGGCGGGCTGGTGCAATGCTTTGGCGCAATCACAGCGCATGATGATGTCATATGGCGACTTTGAACATCGGGCATTCGTGTGTTGGTGAACATACGGATGGTAAGCTTTGGTGGGCTGTTGCAATTCTTTGGCGCAATCACAGCGCATGATGATGTCATACGTTCGACTTGAACATCGGCCATTCGTGTGGTGAACATACGAACGGTAAGGGCGTTTGGCAGGCTGGTGCAATGCTTTGGCGCAATCACAACGCATGAT